ATCCTTCTTTTTGTATGCTCTGAGTGCATTATTTCTTTCTCTAGTTTCTTCTCACTACCTTAAACTCTTCGGATGTTGATGTGAGCCGTGTATGTTGACTAAGCTAAGTTGAACCCTTCCTTCCCTTGAGTAAGAACTTCCTAATCTCCTCCCTATGTGACAATCTCATCTGAGAGAATATGTAGGATGCTTAATCGAGAGTCTTCTTAGGCCCCGGCTTAAGATGTAATTAACCACGGGGCTTGCGCCCGTGGGAAACCAAATCCCACATCAAATAAATCTAACTCGAGCTGATGTATCGGGCGGGGGAAACCTCGTTACTCTGATCAGGTCCTGCAAATTAATACCCACGAGGTGTGTAGGCGAAAGCTGCTATCCTCAATGGTTAATCATATATAAGATCTAATTTGCTCATTGGCCCGCTTACGAACAGCGCAAAGGCATGCAACGGTTTCGTTCTTCGGGATTGTGCGATAGTACCCTCTACACTTTGTCCCCTGCCGAACGGTATCCTTTCGGAGGTCCACACTTGTGATTAGTTTGTTTGGGTTTATAACCTTTGATATATACTGCAATATATCAAGAATTTTCATTAGGTAATGTCTCAGAAACATCATTAGGAATATAAATATCATTTAGTGGAACCAGAAAGTTTTTGTGGGGAGGAAAAATTATGAAGGATATAGAGTTGGTTATAGGGTATAAGGAAGGTGGATAATTTATCTTACTTTCAGGAGATGGTTCAAATTCTTAGATCTGCTTCGGAGAACAGTTTGAGCTTGTACGCTTGGAATTTACCATTCCAAATCCAAGGATAGTTTTGTCTTCAGCTTTCCTATTTTAAATTTCAGAAGGATTGATTTGATGTGGTGGAGGAAGGTCAAGAGGGGCAAGCATACTTCATCATCTTACCTAGTTTTAGTCCCCCAACCCCCTGAAGATGAGGTTTGGTAAAGTAGGAGTTTTGTTGATCAAAAGTGACATCAATGGATACAAGCATTTTCTTTGTAGGGGGTGATAGCATTTGTACCTTTTTTGGGTGGCAGAGTATCCAATGAAGATACATTTAAGTTCCCTTGGATCTAGTTTTCCTCTATTTTGGTTGTGGATGTGAACATAGGCAGTGCACCCAAAGATTCTGGGTGTAAGGTCATTATGGGTTCGAAACTCAGGGTAAAAGGAGGACAAAATATCTGTGAAACCCTTAAACTTTCAAGTTATTTTTGAAAAAAAAAAAATTGTGCAATTAGTCTGTACGAACCGTCTATACAAACTGAAGAAAGTTTTGAGAATCTATATGGTTAGTCTGTACGAACTGTCTGTACGAACTGAATAAAGTGCAGGTTCGTCTGTACGAACCACCAGTTCGTCTGTACAAACTGAACAAATTTTTTTGCCAGAGCCCATTGTCCTGGGACGAAAATCAAATATCGTCCGTACGAACGTATTCTGAGGGCTTGACAGAGCCGATCGTCCCGGGACGAATGTAAATTTTCGTCCGGACGATCGTAAATATCTTTTTAAGACTGATTTGTATCATTTGAAGAGAAAGAAAGAGGAGAGAGAAAGAGAAGGAAAGAGGGAGAAAATCTATGTTTTGGGCGTCTTCGGTCCATTTTCGTTCGACGACGCAGTTAGGAAAGTTGATCGACTAGAGGTAAGGCACATTATGCCTTTCTCAATTTTCAGAAATGTGAGTTTTGACGGATTTTCTGATTAAAATTTTGTTTCCATCAGCGAAAAACGGTATAACTTTGTACCGATAAAACTTTTACAGCGTAACTTTTTGTATGTTGTAGAGATTATGATTTCGCACGTTTCGAGTATTTTCTGAAAAAATTTTCACCGAGTATTCTGAATTCTGGGGGGGTTATTGAATAGAAAAATATACGGATGTTGAAAAATATTGCTTCAGTACAATAAAAGCTTTGAAATGATGTTTTACACGATTTCTGGTAATTTGATAATTTCTATAATGTATATGATTATTTTGATGAATGATAGAAAGAGGAAAAATTATGGATGATTTTCTGTGTATTTGGAAGTTTGTAGTAGCTCTGTGTTTCTGTATTCCTTTGTGTAATAGAAGAAAGCCTGAAAATAAATTCTAAAGCTAGATTTTGGGGTTCGCCGTCGCAACTCAATGCGATGGGATTTGTCCTGGTCGGGTTGGGTTGTGACAATATCCATTGAAGCTTTCATCCCCAATGTTTTTAAAGTTAATCGGTTTACGAGGTAGGTGGCAGTTAGGAGAGCTTCTCCCTAGTAGGATTTGGGTATAGTGTGGTGGAGAAGGATGGCACGTGGAGGCTAGGAGGTGACCATTTTTCCTTTACGCAACCCCATTTTGTTATGGGATGTGAATGCAGGAAGACTCGTGGATGATACCTTCACTCTGAAAGTAAGAATGTAGGGTTTGGTTGAAGTAGTCTTTAGCATTGTCTGAACGAAACCTCTTTATTTTGACCCCAAATTGATTCTGGATCATTGTATGAAAAATGGGAAGAATGGTGCTAAGGTCGGATTCATTTTTGAGGAGATACATCCAAAAAACTCGAGTGCAATCATGAATGAAAGATACAAACCAGTGAGCCCCAGAGATGCTGGGGATTTTTTAGGGTCCCCATATGTCACTATAAATGAGAAAGAAAGGAGTATTGCATCTATCATTCTTGTTTGGAAAAAAAGGTTCTTTTATGTTTGGCGAATTCACATGTTTCATAATAAAAATTTTCATTTTCCAATTTATGAAATAGTTTTGGATAAATGTGTTTCAAGACTTCTACTAATGGATGCCCTATTCTGAAGTGGTTAAGCCAGATAGTAGATTTCTTGCCAACTAGGGATAACATAGAATATCTATTTTTGATTTGTGGCTCCTGAGTCAATGATCCATATTTCTTTCGAATGATTTCTAGAGGTACTTAATCTAGTGAATATGGGAAACTTACTTGAAAGTGCAAGAGAGGGAGATGCAAGTAGTTTTTCAAGAGATAATAGGAGTTGTTTGAGTCTTTCAATATATTCTTTATTGAAGCTTTGGAATGTGTTTTCTTCAGACATTTTGATATTACAACAACAATAAAGCCTGTTATGATTATATCAACAAAAAAGGTTGATATTAAAATCAGGTCTCAAGCCTAATCAGGTCGCTAGTTTAAATCCGGCAGGTCGGACCGAGCCGCTTTAAAAATGAGGCTTCAGTCCTTATTTTTTGCATGAGTCGGGATGGAAATGAGGTCCCATTAGGTCTTCTGCAAGCTCTATCTTCTGGTTTCGGCTAGGGCCTTCTGCAATAGCTTTTGTCTTTGGTAAAGCTCCGCTCTACGGCGTCCATCAGCAAGGTTTCGTCCGGCGTCCTTTGGCAAAGCTCCACTATGTCGGCAAGGTACTGTCCGCAGGGGGCTCCGTCTACAACGTCCTGTCTTCGGAAAGGCTTCGTTCGACTCCGTCTTCTTGCGTTCATCCGAGTCGGTAAAAGGGAACGGAGGTAGCGTCAACGACGTCTGGCCACTCCGGTCTCTTCTTCTTCTTCTTCTCCTCCGACAATTCAACAATTGTTCTTCAATCGGCAATGAAGGCTGTTGGCTTTGATACCATGATAGAAAACAAAAGGTTTGAAAAGAAAAATGATTGCTTTATTATATGATTTCTTCTCTATTTATAGATCTATACAATAAATCTTAATACATAAACAAATAATTACAGAATAAATCTAATAGAATTATTCCTAAATCAGCTATCCGAACATGCAAAGAATTCTGGCGTGAGTCATGCGTCCCACAGATCAGGCACTGTAGCCATTGGATCTTATTTGCATTGAACGGCTAGATTTTAACAATTATGAATTCCTTGACCTCCTAGTCATCTTTCTATTAAAGCATTAAAGTTGAATTATGACCATTGTAACTTTGGAACATAGCAATATTAATGTATTTGGCTACATATGCCAGGTTAAAAACTCTAGACCTTGTCAACATAAGCCTATCGAAACTTATTCATATTGCATGGCCTTGAGACAAGTTAGCATGTAGGTTTGGAAAAATATTGCATTCTTGCATTGATATTGGAACCTCGTGTGTATTTAGATCATCTTCCCTCTAATGCAAGATCATAAGACCCATATTTTCCACCCTTTATGATCCTAAGCTTGTTAGAAGGCATCCCCTTTCCAAAATCCTATTATCAGTCTTCACAATATTCATTCCCCTTTGATTATGTAATTAGGGGGTGTTTACCTAATATTAGTGATGCAACAAAATATGAAAGATTAATAGAAGATAACAAATAATGGAAGGCATTGATGTGGCTAAATGGATGACATTGATGCGCCTGTGATGTTTTGTTGCCATTCCAGTTATGGAATATCTCTATGTTACATATTCCGTCTGTCTTCCATTGATTCAAAAGCTCGTGAAAATATACTATAATCATTTCTCACTCCATTGAGATAATATGATCCAATGTCTTCTCCAAATGTCATGAGTTTCTTTTGAAATCTGCATAATGGGGGCAAATCAAACCTCATATCTTTCATGAACTCAAGGATTGATGATAATTTGTACTTTTGTAGTTGATTGATGATGGGTTGGGAAACTTGTATTGGAAGTCCTCCAAAGGCAGGAAGGAAAAGATGAATCAGACGAGAGAGGAAGAGAAGAGAAGGTCGGCTGCCCTAAGAGAGAGTGTAGTGGGAGACCATTATTTAAAATATTCTTCCATTCAACATCAGTTAATGTCTTCGCATACATCCTCTATTTTAAAGAGGATTTTAGACATGAAAACAACAAGAAGGATAGTAATCTGAGAGCAATCGAAACACTTGATTACATATTTATTGCATGAATAATCCAAATATAACATGTGATAGCATGTATAAATATGCAAGATTCGAAAAAAGGCAAGCAATGATATGTCGTATAATTGTGAGCCCTGCATTGCTATAGCTCCTTTTAAACCTATTAGAAAGCTTCAAAAGCTAAAAGATAAATAAAACCTACCTTGTTTCAATCACGCCAGCCAAGACCAAATGGTCTAGAAAGCAGGCTGATTTTTCTGGATGGAGATTCCTGCTGTGTGTCCTGATTGGATGTTGCATTCGAGTTGTCCAACGATGCCCTGAAGATAAACAGAAAATCAGATCTTTTTTTGCAAAAGACAGAAAAGTGCCCCTCAAACTTGAGGGAAAATTCTATAAGATGCTGGTGAGGCCTACAATGCTTTATGGAGTAGAATATTGGCCATTAAATGATAAGCATAAAATTAACTTTAAGTGTTGCATAGATGAGGTTGCTTAGGTGGATGAGTGGCTTTACTATTAGAGATAGAATGTGAAACGACTAAATATGTGAAAAGGTTGGAATAGCTCCAATGGCAGAGAAGATTAGAGAGTTGCCTTAGATGGTTTGGTCACATAAAACGTCAGTCTTACGATAACCGAGTTAGGAGAGTAGATGTATTAGATTTGTCCTAAGTTAAGAAAGGTAGAGGTAGACCTAAAAAGACTTGGTTAGAAAGTATTAGAAATAAACTTTGTTTATTAGATTCAAAGGAGAATTTAACTCTTAATAGGACACAACAGAGAAAAATGATTCATGTAGCCGACCCCAAGTAGTGGTATAAAGGCTTGATGTTGTAGTTATTTTGTACAAGTCTATTCATCCATAAAATTAACTTGATGAAAGTCTTCATCTGCAAAGTGATAGGAAATAAAAGAAAACACAAAATTCTGTAACAGAAATCAGCAATCCGGCACGCTTCCAAACAGTTTTTGAAAGAAGAACATAAAAATAACAGAGGGAAAAACTTTTAATTTGATAGTAGAAGAAAGAAAATAGCAAGATACAGTTGAATCTTTAATTGGAGAGGAAGATCCTTCTCTCTCAATCTCTAGCCGAAGACTAGAGTCCAAGCAAAACCTAAAAAACACTAAATTCTGCAAAACATACAACATAACCCTAACCCTAAATAAGAAAATCCTACTTAAAGAGAAAACAAACAACAAATCCCTGAACAACCCCTAGATTTAGAACTTTTTCTCTCATATCCTTCTCAATTAAAACCATAACACCACAATTAAGAGGGTTGGGCCCAACAAGCTGCCCGCCCCCCACATCTGGCGGATCTATTCCGCCTGGAATAGACCAGAACCGATCCAGGTGGAACCGGTTCAGTCGACTCCTCAAAAGCCGGTCTGACAATGCCCCCTCCCAAAGACTCACATGGGAATTGAGTCTTCATTCTCTCGTATGGCTCTCAAGTGGTGTCATAATCTGTGAGGTTCTTCCATTTAATCAACACTTCATCATCCCTCTTCTTTCCTTTTCGCACCCCCTTAAGCTCCAAGGGCTCCAACACCACTTCCAAATCCCCAGTCAGTGACGCCGCACAAACTGCATGCTCCCCTAAGCCCCCCTCAACTGGGATTAGGGGTGTCAACTTTTGACCCGACCCGAAAACCCGACCGACACTACCGGGTCGAGGGGTCGGGTCGGGTCAACCCGGCAACCCGGCCGGGTCGGGTCCGGGTTGAAATGTCCGACCCATTTGCAAAAACGGGTCGAGTCGGGTTCGACCCGAACCCGACGGGTTGACCCGAATTGACACCCCTAACTGGGATACATGAAACACCAGATGTACGCTGGCGGCTGGGGGTAACCTCAGGAGATAAACCACCGCTCCAATCTTTTCCAATATCTCATACAGGCCAAAATACTTGAGAGCCAGTTTCTCGTTCCTCTTGTCAGCCACTGTCCTCTGTCTGTAAGGCCGTAGTTTTAAAAACACCTTGTCCCCCACTTGGAATTGAATGTCTTTCTTATGTCCATCAGCCTGCTTCTTCATGATCTATTGTGCCCTTAGCAGGTGTTTCTTCAATTCATCTAACACCCTATCTCTTTCTTCCAAGTATTGCTCTACTGAGGAGACTGGTATGCTCCCCTGCCTAAAATGTACCAAGTGTAGAGGGTTTCTTCCATAAAAAACTTTGAAGGGGTCATCTGAGAAGCTAAGTGGTATGATGTATTATACCAATATTCTGCCCATGCTAACCACTTGGCCCACATCCGTGGTGTTTCTGACGCAAAACACTGTAAGTCTCCATGCTTCTGTTGACTACCTCCGTCTGCCCGTCCGGCTGAGGGTGGTAGGTAGTGCTTCTATTGAGAACTGTACCCTGCAACCTAAACAACTCCCTAAAAAACTAACTGAGAAACACCTTATCTGAGTTAGAGACTATTGACTCTGAGATCCCATGCAATCTAACCACCTCTCTAATGAATGTTGCAGCTACTGTAACTGTGGTGTAGAGTGTCGTAAGGGAATGAAATGCACATATTTATTCAGTCTGTCAACCACCACCATAATAACTGTGAATCCCTATATCGTGGTAGACCATCTATGAAATCCATGGATACCTCCCCCTTGGAGCCATAACCATGTACTTATTTCTCTAGCACACCTCACACCTCGCCACCATCTCCTCGACATCCTTATGCATCCCTTTAGAATGGAATTCAGCAGTCAATCTTCTGTAAGTCTTCTGCATGCCCGAATGGCCTCCAACTGCACTCCCATGGAACTCCTGCAGCAAGTGGGGAATATGAATAGAGGTTCGTGGCATCACAAATCTCCCTTGGTACAGTAGCCTCTCTCCCTCAAGGGAGTAGCCTAGGTGGCTTCTCCTATCCTTTAATAAATCCCTCATAATCTTCCACAGCTCCTTGTCCTGCACACTTTCCTCTTTGATAGCCCCCCAATCTACCACCAGTGGTATTAAAATAGCCATCTCCATAAGCTCTCCCACAAACCTTGATAAGGCATCATCCACCTTATTCTCCAATCCTGGTCTGTACCGGATCTCAAAATCGTATCCCAACAGTTTGGATAGCCATCTTTGATGCTCCTCAATCACCATTCTTTGTTCCAGCAAGTATTTCAAGCTCCTCTAGTCTATAACGACGATAAAGTGTCGACCCAGCAAGTATGGGCGCCACTTCTAAATGGCTAACACAATGGCCATCAATTCCCTCTCATATAATGACTTTAATTTAGCTCTGGATGTCAACACTTGACTGAAGTAGGCAATGGGTTTAAGATTTTAAATGAACACTGTCCCCAACCCATATCCTAATGCATCTGTCTCCACTACAAAGGTCTGACTGAAATCTCACAGAGCCCCAACTAGTATTGTGGTCATGGTCTTTTTTAGACTCTCAAAAGCCTTGGTAGCCGCCTCTCCCCATAAGAAACTATCCTTCTTTACCTACTCTATCAAGGGTCAGGCTGTGTTGTTGTACCCCCCACGAACCTTCTGCAATAACCAATCAAACCTAGGAAGCCCCTCAACTCTCTCAAGTTCCTAGGTAGAGGCCACTTCTGCATTGTTTCAATTTTGGTTTGATCGGCTGCCACCACCTCCTGAGACACCACATGCCCCAAGTATTCCACACTAGTCTGTGCGAAGCTGCACTTCTTTAGGTTGGCCCTTAGCCGATGCTCATATAGAACTTCTAAGACCACCCTCAAATGTTCCAAATGTTCCTCCTCATTCCTTTTATACATAAGTATGTCATCAAAGAAAACTAATACAAACTTTAAGAGGTCTATAAGAGACTGTAAAGCAGCATGAGCGTTAGTAAGGTAAAATGGCATCACCAAGAACTCGTAATGCCCCTCGTGTGTCCTAAAGGCCGTCTTCTGAATATCCACCTCCATCATCCTGATTTGATGGTAACCCAACTTCAAGTCCATCTTGAAAAAATCACTGCTCCATACAACTTATCCAGTAACTCATCGATCAACGGAATGAAGAACTTATCCGGCATAGTCTCCTTATTCAAGGCCCAATAGTCCACACAAAACCTCAAGCTCCCATCCTTTTCTTGACCAGTCATACTGCGCTAGAAAAAGGGCTAACACTCGGCCTGATGATCCCCGCCTCTAACATCTCTTGGATCAACTTCTCAATCTCATCATTCTGAATCTAAGAGTAGCGGTATGGTCGTATACCAATCGGTGACACCCCTTCCTTCAAATTGATTGCATGCTCCTGCTCTCTAGGTGATGATAAGCCTTAAGGCGGATGAAAAACCTCACTGAACTATTGTATGAGTGGTTGTACTGAAAGAGGGATGTTTCCCCCTTCCCCTAATCTGACCCCTTCCAAGCTTTATAGTTCCACCAAAAATTCTCGTCCCACCTCCTGGATGGTCATGATCATGGATTTGAGAGATACTCCGGCCCTGGACAGCCCTATATCTCCTGGGATCACCATCCTTCTTCCCTCCACCACCAGTTCCATCCTCAGTCAGTGCTCCCCAATTGACATTGATATCTCCCAAGGTCTGCAGCCACTTTATCCTCAGGATGACATCAGCGCTCCCCAACTCCAATGGGAGGAAATTCTCCCTCACCTGAACCCCCTAAATAGTCAGCACTACCCCCTACAAAAATCGGTATCTTAAGTTTTCGAACCTTTGGATCTCCCCCATTTCCCATGATTCCTCCATAATTTCCCTTTCCCCAAGTGGGTGGTCCTCCCCAAGAGTTTCGATCCTCCCTCGCACGTTCATACACAAATCCTTCTTCGAATTTGCCACTTCTTCCTTCAAAATCAGCACCTAGGTGGCCATGATCTTCATCCCTTTGTTCCCAATCAACACCTCTTTGCTCCTACCTCACATATCCATGCCTCTCCCCATACCTACCTCCTCTCTCCTCCCTCTGAAAAGGCTCCATATGAGGTCTTCTCCCTTCTCCCTCTATGATCTCCACCTCATTTTCATCCCTATGAATTTAAAAATTCATATTTTTTTCCTTCTGGCCCTCTCGCCTCTGATGCCGCCATTTGGTTGTGGAAATCCAATATCTTCTTAACCACGTCACGTAAGTCTGAGAATTGTTCTTCCATGGAGAAAATTATATCCTCCACTGTTGTCTTGATTTGGTTTATCTCCCCTCGAGGTGTTCCTCAAACGTATCCACCTTCTCAGTGCCCATCATCACCCCATAACCCCTAGTGTCCACCAATTTCACCCCCAACTGGTCAACAAACTGATTGGAAATAAAATTATGGGTAGCCCTACTATCGATTAGCACCGCCACCTCTATGTCTACTATCTCCCCCTTCCAAAACTACAGCTCTGATACCACTCTAATTGTCACGACCCAACCCGATCGGAATGAATCCCATCACGTTAAGTCGCGACGGATGAATCCAGGATCTAGTTTTGGAATTTGTTTTCAGACTTTCTTCCAATTTACACAGGACTACATAAACACAGAGTTACTACAAACATCCAAATATACCAAAAAGCTCATCCAACATTTTCTTCTTTCCTTCATCAAAATAATCATATGCATTACAGTGCATGGCTATAAATAGAAAGTACAGAACAGAAAAAAACAGAATAGCCATGACCGTACAAAAATCAAAAGTACAAAAATACATAATCTCAGATCAGATACAGAACGGCTAGTCCAAAACCTCCTTTCCTTTCCCAGAACCTGAAAACCATGAAGATAACCACAGTGAGCTAACAGCTCAGCAAGACTACACTAGCCGATCCAAATCTCCAGAAACTCAATTCAAAATACTTCATCGAAATCCGAAAATAATTCACCTCAAATCACATAATCACAGAACGAATCACATAAGCACAGAACTGAAATCTCAGAACGGAAATGCATATTCATTCATTTACTGATTGAAACCGTCACACAGAATTCATATATTCATACAAAAATTAAAAAAATCAACAGAATTCAGTACGTCGTACATAACAGATCATACAGAACGGATAATCAGATAATCAGGCAGAATTCAAACATTCTTACATAACAAGTACTCATATAAAATCAAAGAACAGAAATTATTCAAATCACATATTCAAATCAGATTTCAAGTCATATATCAAATCATTTATCAGATCACAATTCCCTAACACAGCAGAATCTCAAAGGATTCTGGCCCCTTATGCCTCCCTTCCAGGACACAGACAGAATCTCAAATGATTATGGCCCTTTATGCTTCCCTTTGTGCTTACCGCACCAGAACATATCAGATATACAGAATTATCAGATCAGAATTCATTTTCATATTCCCTGACACAGATAGAATCTCAAAGGATTCTGGCCCCTTATACCTCCCTTTTCTAACACAGACAGAATCTCAAAAGATTCTGGCCCCTTATAACTCTCTTCTGATATCATTCAAATCACATCAAATATCAATTCATATCAAATTCAGAGAAATCAGACTCGTATCAGAAAATCGTCAGAGAGAATAATGGCGGACAATCAGAAATTCTACGGATCAGAAATTCTACGGATCAGAAATTCACAGTTTCAAAAAATCACCAATTTATCAGAGATAGTGTAAAACATCATTTCAAGACTTTCAATGTACTGAAGTAATATTTTTCAACAATCAGATAATTTACTATTCGATAAAAACTCCACAGAATTCAAAATATCCGGTGAAAATTCTCCATAAAATATTCAAAATATGTAAAATCATAATCTCTAAAACATACCAAAAGTTACGCAGTAAAAGTTTTACCAATGCAGAGTTATACCCGTTTTTTGCTAACGGAAACAAAATTTGAAACAGAAAATCCGTCAAAAATTGCATTTCTGAAAATTGAGAAAGGCATAACGTGCCTTACCTCGAGTCGATCAACCTTCCTAACTACGACTACGGACGAAAACGGACCGAAGTCGCCCAAAATCTGGCTTTCTTCCTCTTTCCTTCGTCTCTCTCTCTCTCCTGCCCTTCTCTCTCTTCAAAAAATATCACTATTCGGATATTTATCAAACTCGATCGTCCAGACGATATTCCCTAATCGTCCCGGGACGATCTCCTCTGGACTCCAATCGTTCAGACGAAAATTGCTTACGTCCCTTGACTGTGCCCTCGGGTTACCTTCGTACGAACGATAATTATGATCGCCCTGGGACAATGCTCTCGGGTTGCCAATGTTTCAACTGTTCAGTCCCGAACGATCCCAACTTCGTCTGGACGAACCTGGAAGGAAAACTTAACATGGAAGAAAACTGACTTTCACATGATCTCCCTGCCTTTGTTCCTAATCAACACTCATTTGCTCCTGCCCCACATATCCGCGCCTCTCCTCATACATACCTCCTCTCTCATCTCTCTGGAAAGGCTCCATATGGGGGTCTTCTCCCTTCTCCCTCTACGATCTCCTCTCATTTTCGTCCCTACGAATTTCAAAATTCGTATTTCTTCCCTCTGGCCTTCTCGCCTCTGATATCGTCGTTTGGTTGTGGAGATCCAACATCTTCTTCACCATGTCACGTAAGTCGGAGATTTGCTCCTCCACCGTTGCCTTGATTTGGTTCACCTCCCCCTCAAGGTGTTCCTCCAACGCATCCACCTTGGCCGCCATTGATACACGGATTTTTGTGAGACTCAAAAATCAATATTGCTTCCCCAAAAACAGCCACACCAATTGTCTGGACAAGAAAAATTTATGCATGAATCCACCAAAACCGCCCCTAAATAGCCCAGGAAAGCGACTCTGATACTAATTTGATAGGAAATAAGAGAAAACACAAAGTTCTGCTGTATAAATCAGCAATCCGACATGCTTCCGAACAGTTTTTGAAAGGAAAAAAAGAAAAGAAATAACAGAGGAAAAAACTTTTAATTTGATAGTAAATGAAATAAAATAATAAGATATAGTTAGATCTTCAATTGGAGATGAAGATCCTGCTCTCTCAATCTCTAGCCGGAGAGCAGAGCCCAAGCTAAACCTAAAAAACACCAAATTCTGTAAAACATACAACATAACCCTAACCCTAGAACAGAAAATCCTATTTAAAGCAAAAGCAAACAACAAATCTCTAAACAGCCCCTAGAATTTGAATTTCCCCTCTCAAATCCTTCTCAATTAAAGCCATAACACCACAATTAAGAGGGTTGGGCCCCTCTCAAACAATCCTACTCACCCGCGGCGGATCTATTCCGCCTGGAATAGACCAGAACCGGTTCAGCCAGCTCCTCAAGAGCCGGTCTAACACAAAGCTGTTCAATGAAAATGTGTTTTGTGAAGAACAAGACATACTACAACTGTTATTGAGATGGACAGGTCATTACCAATAGTAATGAGATGACTATATGCACATGCAACCTATGCTAGATCAGCAGCATAGAGTGTAAACATAACTGGAATTATCACATGATCGAGAAAAATTTACCTTGGAGAAGGAGATGAAGGTCCTTGCGCTTTTGTTTGGCTGGACTGGCCCTGCAAGGTAGCCGCCAACATTGTTTCAGCCATTACAGCCCTCTTCTCCATTTGTGCAATCATAGTCATGGCTTCTTCATATTTTTCCTGCATGAATCTGGTAAGAATGGATAAATATATACAATAAGTGAAGAAAGGTAGGTCAATCAAATTAAAGTGATTTGAAATTTGTTATGTATGAAGTGAGATTACAGAATGTCAGTAAAAACTATTTATTTAGAAGGCCAAATAAACCTAGCTTTTAAAATAACATGAAGATTCCTAGTATCACCATTAACCTTCTCCCAAATAGTTGGAGGCAGTTGAAATTCATGGAAACCATCACTAAACCCTAAAAATGATGTTGGCATTCATGGAAGAACAAAAAATGGATTACACTTCATATAATCCACCAAGAAGAACAGGAAGAAGCACCAATTGATTAAACAAACTGAAGAGAGACTCGATATTTTTGGCTCTTTTTTGAGCATGAGATTGCACGGCTTGACTTGGTAGGGGAGAAAATTGATGTAGTTGCCACAAGGTGAGTATAAGAGAGAGATATCGGAATAGAGAGGTTAAAAGTCATAAGATTCCATTGAGGACTACCGCTTAAGAGAGAATCTAGGATGATTATGGGGTAAGCTTAATTTCAATCAGGATGCTAAACATAGCATCATACTAATCCTATTTATCAAGATTGGATTGATCATTTATATTTGAATTAATCATATCATCTAATCCAAATTAAAATCAATTCCTATCTAATTCAAACATAAAATAAGATTATCCAAAAAGATAATTCCTAGGTAATTTAAATAAAAATTAGCATGATAAAAGAAATACAAATTTAAATTCAGGAACTAGTCAGATGTGGGTAGGTCTGGACAAGTATGAGTCTGCGTTGAAATTCATGTGTTGCATCATTCTACTTCTGTGATAAAAATTGTTTTTGATCAAGGGGCTACTTGGTTTGCTGTAAAAGATATGTAAAATATTCCAAATGCAGTTGTTTTGGAAATATTGGTGTTTTAGTTTTAAATAAAATGAATGCAGAGTAAAATTTTGAAATATAAGGACTTCACCCTCTAGTTCAAATCCAATATATTTAGAGTTCCTCCGATTTGAGTGGATTTTCAAATACGTCGAAACTCACCGCCATTGGCGCCACAGGCCACCACCTCCGCCATCTCCGCCGGAGAACCTACGGCAGTGGCCGGCCAACGACCAACCTTGGCGACCGCCGGCCACCCCCGACTATCGTCGGCCGCCGCCAACCACCGCCATTTGAACTTTACACTACATTCAATTTACTTCAAGTCAAACACAAAAAAGAAAAAACCTATATTTATTGTACACTCATCCAAATAACTCTAAAGTATTTCAAATACATTGTATTCCTTTTACACTGTATTCTTTTTTCAACCAACTAAAAAAGCCCCTAAATATTACAACATGCAAGTAATTGTTCAGAATGAAACTGCATAGAGAAGCAATAATAATTCAACCATAGTACCATGCTATAGATAGGGATTGATACTTACAGAATTGTCTTAAATAGAGCCTATTCTTATGATCTTATGAATTTTTAACATAGAAAGGCTTCACTCTTGTAAATCATTCATTTTTACTTGAGACAATATATGTAAATCAAACTTGGAGTAAACAACATTACAGCACTGGAATTTGGCGAATTGGAAGTGTATTACAAAGTTCAGCCAGGCATTTGTTTCTTTACAAGCAATACAATGAACGACGCAACATATAGATAAAGCCTTTGTAAATTTTCTAGCGTGGAAAAGAACCTGGAGCATGTGGGAAGCATATTTTTGAGCAGCAGCATCTTGCTCAGCAAACATGCGAGCATCTTCTGTTACTTTCTGCTCTTGTTCAACCCGTATCAAGACCTATGATTATCCGTTCGTATATTGTGAGGGCATAATGCACAAGCAAAATATCAATGAGCAAGTAGCATATGATGTTGAAGAGTTGCAAAAATAGAAACTGGAAGAATGTCATACCTGAAGCATGGCCTGTTCTTGCTCCTGTTTATCTTTAAGAGCTTGCCGTAACTCTGACACTTCCTGCTCAAGCTGCTCAACCTACAAAATAAATAATCAAAACAGATAGAATTACGTTAATGAGAAGATTTCATTAAGCCATTAGTGAAATTTTATTCTTATCATTAATAGATGGCAAGAAAGATACACTGAGGAGATGATTTCTAAGCTAAATCAATTACTTGAAGATATGGAGAGCACAGAAAAATCTGCATATGATTTTTACAGATATTCGAAGACATATATAATAAAGTATCTCAAAAATTGATTTGGAGTGATTTAAAAAAAATGTGTAAAAAAATAGTTTTAAATTAAAGAATACAAGATTTAGCATTAACAACATAAACATTAGTTGCAATCATCAAAGAGTTCACTAGTGGGTCATAACAAAAGCCATTATCTTTTTGAGTTATTATGAAAATGCTTATAAAGGATACTGATACGCCCTAGGGTTCCCAAGTTTGGGTTTGCCCTAATGCTCCTTCAAAGAAAAGATTTCTCCACCAAATCCAAGAAAAATAAACACAAGAGGGATGAGAGGAAGAACAAGAACCTTTGCATTAGAAATCCAAAAGAAACAAGATACAATTTGTCCACTTTGAGAAGGACAAGGTCTCCCACTACAAACCCTAGAAAACTTAGAGAAAGGAACTAAGGTGGCTAAGAGAAAACTCAATTCTTGCATAACCCTAGAAATACCCCCTTAATCCCTACTTATAGCAAGCAAAAGACCAAACCAAACCCACTAGTGGGCTGCCCAAGTTGAACCGCCCGGTTCAAGCTAGACTTGAGCCAAACCGGTCCAGAAATGGACCGGTTCCGCTCAAGCCGACCCCCCGCTCCGCTCCGCGTCAAGTCCCGCGCCCGCGTCGCCTTCGGCGGATCGACCCGCGCGGTCTCCTTCCCGGCCGATGCCGCGTGCTCCGGGGTCGCCGGCACTTCCTCTGCCGGCCGGCGGCGGTCCGCATCATAATGTTTGGAATGCCATCAGTTTTTGAGGAATGGAGGAGGGCATTCTCCTTTTGCATAGTTATCCTATTCTTTATGGTGGACGGTATATCATTCTAAAGTGATAATAATCCCTCAGAGATTGAGGTAGAGGTTGAAGTTATAAGAGGAAGAAGTTTAAGTATGCTTGACAAGTGGTTAGAAGCAGATGTGTTGGGAGGATGAAGAGTGGCTTCATCAAAGTTACCATTAGTTGGAGTGGATACTCGCAAGATTGGGAATTGAAGAAGTAGAAGAAAAACTATTAGTATTTGCAGGTGTCGTGATAGAAATTTTGAGATCTGGTGCCACAGCAGGGGGAGCAATGTTTGAATTGAAGGAGACCATTTTGGGGTGGCTGTGACCCTAGGAAAAAAATCCCCCTGTTGATGCTTCCGCTTCTACCAAGATGCTGAAATTTGTTTAGTAAAGGGGCTAGTGATTTGAAGATTTTGGATGGTTGGTGGTGTGATGTGCGGAAGTATCACTAGTAGCACATTGTGAGGGTTTTCGTTCATAAATGATAGGCTACAAGATGTCCTGTCCTTTAACTAAAATAATGATCTGGTTAAGCAGGACAAATATGGTGGAGATTTGCATACTAATCCTAGCAAATGTATGAATATGAATCATTTGGTGCTGAGAGGATCAATAGTAAGAGGTATACAAATTTTTCTTGCAGCTTACGAGATCCCTTTTTCAACCAATGATACAGAGGTAAAATAAAACATCTAACCCATATAGGGATTTCTTTAAAATTTTCTTAACCAGAACAAATTCAGGAGTCCTTTTTTTTTTAAAGATGAAAGGCCAATCGTTAATGAATCATAACCCTCCATTGCTCGCCATCTCAAAATCTTCAACACAGATAAAGTTGAAGAGAAAAAAGCCATATAATAGTGAGAGTAATTCAAATGCACCATTTAATTTTGAAAGTTTGCTCATGGCTTGGAATAGATTTCCATAAAGTGACTTCTTTTAGATAGGATATCTAATTAAGGCATAGCTCTAATATTTAGCCCCTTCCTCCACTTTCTCATCCAAGAACGAAACCTTTTCATTTTAATAGGGAAAGCGAAATTATCAGTGCAGGGACATGAGAAGTTAACAAACCTTTATAGTTCATTGTAAGCTTGTCGTAGCTAGTCGGTTGTCAGCCTCAACGGAGAATGAAGTGGAAGGCAAGATGAAGATACTCCGAGGGATCCATGGAGTTACCCAAGGGTACATTGGGCCTTCCGGCCACACTTGAGAGGAGACATTCAGTGGAGCAAAGGTACATTGGGCCTTCCTGCTACACTTGAAGGATCCATGGAGGTACCCAAAGATACGTTGGGCCTTCCGGCCACACTTGAGAGGAGACATTCAGTGGAGCAAAGGTACATTGGGCCTTCCTGCTACACTTGAAGGATCCATGGAGGTACCCAAAGATACGTTGGGCCTTCCGGCCACACTTGAGAGGAGACATTCAGTAGAGCAAGTGGGTAGAGATGTGTAAGGAAAAATTGGGGAGTAGGCGCAACACCATGAAATCCTACTAGCATAGCACATTAAGA